CTCTGTTGTTGAAAGAAAGCACCAACACATTTTGAATGTGGCCCGTAGTCTCTTATTCCAATCCAACATACCTAGTACTTACTGGTCATATGCTGTGGGACATGCTGTTTACCTAATAAATAGATTACCCACTCCCATTTTAAATAACAAGACCCCTCATGATTTGTTGTATAATCTTCCTCCCACTTATTTAGATTTAAGGTCTTTTGGGTGTTTGTGTTTTGCTTCCACTCTTGAGAATAATAGAAGTAAACTTGATCCAAGAGCTAGAAAAGGTATATTCCTGGGATATAAACCTGGTATGAAGGGCTATATTGTCCTTGACTTGAATACCAGGGAACTACTCATAAGCAGAAATGTGGTGTTCCATGAAGACATCTTCCCTTAACAAAGCCAGCAAAGAAATGATGAAGATATAGACAATGAAGGTGACAAGGCTGACACTCTCAACGACCTGCTGGGAAATCAGTACGCTGAATTCAATGCCAGCAATGAAGAACAAACACAACAGGCTTCTGATAATGAAGAAAATGACCATGATACCAGAAGCAATCAGGAGGTTGGTGAGCAAAGGAGATCTCAGAGGACTAGAAAGACACCAGAATATCTCAAAGACTATGTTCATCAGGTCAATCAATCCTTAACTGTGAAGAACAATTTTAAAACTCCTTATCCGATTTCCAATTCATTATGTTGTGATAACTTGACAGAAAAACACTTGAGATATACTCTAGCTGTCACTGGAAATAAGGAACCTCAATCCTATAATCAAGCTAAGGAAATGACTGAATGGGTGGAAGCCATGGAAAGAGAAATTAAAGCTTTACAAGATAACAAAACTTGGGATTTAGTTCAACTTCCTTCAGGAAAAACCCATATAGGGTGTAAATGGGTGTACAAGACCAAGTATAAAGCAGATGGTAGCATTGAAAGAATTAAGGCTCGATTGGTGGCAAAGGGATACACCCAACAAGAAGGAATTGATTATCTTGATACTTTATCACCTGTGGCCAAGTTAACCACTGTCAGACTTCTCATTGCTCTAGCTGCTTCACACAATTGGTTTTTACATCAACTTGATGTTGATAATGCTTTCTTACATAGAGATCTCAATGAAGAAGTCTACATGGAACCACCCCCAATTCTAAACATTCAAAAGGGACAGGTTTGCAAGATAAGAAAGTCTCTATATGGTCTAAAACAAGCAAGTAGACAATGGTTTGAAAAATTGTCTACTTTTCTAATATATGCAAATTTTATCCAATCAAAATCTGATCATTCTCTATTTATAAGAAAAACAACTACGAGTTTTACTGCTTTGCTTGTGTATGTAGATGACATTGTTTTAGCAGGAAATTCTATGATGGAAATCAACTGCATAAAAGAGTTACTTCACCAAAGATTTCACATAAAGAAATTAGGGGAACTCAAATATTTCCTTGGGTTAGAAGTGGCCAGATCAAAAAAGGGGATCCACTTATCCCAGAGAAAGTATGCTCTAAACATACTTGAGGAGACTGGAATGCTTGGATGCAAACCATCTACTACACCTTTCCTAAGTAACACAAGCCCTCTGTATAAAACAGACAACTACCTTGATGATCCTACTCTCTACAGAAAATTGATAGGGAAGCTTCTTTACCTTACAAATACTAGGCATGATTTATGTTTCACAATTAATTTGCTTTCGCAATTTATACAAAACCCTACCAGTTATCACTATCGTGCTGACCAACAAATTCTCAGGTACATCAAATCCGAACCATCTCAAGGATTATTCTTTGCTGCTGATTCTAGTATGCAACTAAAGGGCTTTAGTGACTCTGATTGGGCCACATGTCCCAACACTCGAAGATCCACCACAGGCTTCTGTGTCTTCCTTGGATCGTCACTCATTTCCTGGAAGTCTAAGAAGCAGAAGACGGTCTCCAGGTCTTCCACAGAAGCTGAATACCGTGCTCTTGCTGCCACTGTATGTGAAATACAGTGGCTTCGTTACCTTCTACAGGAACTTCAGATAGAAGAATCCGGAACCCCTATTTTATACTGCGACAACAGGTCTGCGAGACACATTGCTCATAATCAGAGTTTTCACGAACGCACCAAGCACATCGAGCTCGACTGCCATGTCGTTCATGAGAAGATACAAGAGGGCCTTCTCCATCTCCTTCCCATTCGATCCGACGAGCAACTGGCCGACATCTTCACAAAATGTTCGTACCGCGTCAAGTTCAGAACGATTGTTCCCAAGCTTGGACTGATGAGTATACACCGTCCAGCTTGAGGGGAGGCTTTTGAGTTTTGTCGGTTTTCCGTTACTGTCACAAGGACAGTTACGTTGTTTTAATTAGTTAGTTTTCTAGTTTATGTGTTCTGTTACTCTTTCCCGTTTTCCCTTTTTCTAGAACTCTATATATATTGTTGTAGACACTCCGCCAGAGGTAGAAGAATGAGAATAAGATACTCATGTTTTAAGGAACTTACAGAAATAATAAAAGGATACATTTTTCTTACCGTGTTTACTGTGCTGATCATCTTTTCCTTCTTCGTCGCCGACCGCCGCTACCCCCACCGAAAGTTCTCGCCGTCGTCCTCTCTGGAAACTTCCGGATGCTCCATTCTCTCTCTTCGCACATGATACCGTGTTTTGACACAAATGGGGTTGCTGATTTGGGAGAAGCGCTTTGTGCTTTCTTGGACTGAAACAAATTGGGCTGCCAACTTTAAGTGCACAGTGTTGGGCTGAGTTCAAAAATTTTAAATACAATTATATCCTTAAGTTAAAAAGATTTTTACTTTTACCCTATTTTAAATAATTTGAAACCCTAATTTTACTTTCCCAGCACCCAACCGCGAAACTCTCTTTCCCTTTCCCCATTTTTGTTTCACCTCCCCACCTCCCGCACTTCCATTCCTTTTTCTTCCCAGTTTTTTTTTTGGTTTGAAAGCTTCCATTGCCGCCGTGGTGTGAAGGAGCGTTGTCGCCGTGGTGTGGAGGAACATCGAGGAACGTCTAGAGCATCAACCAGCATGAGGAAGTATACATGATGTAACCTAATAAAATAAACTCTAAAATAAAAAACGTAACCTTTAAACGGGAGGTGACATCTTCAACGGATGTCAACATCCGTTTAAGGTAAAACGGATGTCGACATCCGTTTTTTCCTTAAATGGATGTCGACATCCGTTTTTTCCTTAAACGGATGTCGACATCCGTTTTTTCCTTAAACGGATGTTGACATCCGTTTTTTCCTTAAACGGATGTTGACATCCGTTGAAGGATGTTGACATCAGTTGAAGGATGTTAACTCCGTTTAAAGGTTTCATTTTTTATTTTAGGGTTTTATTTCAAGATTTATTCGAATACGAGGAAGCACTCAACGCACTGCACCACTCCACACACTACACACGAGAGGGAGACTGCTTGATAATTCTTTCCACCACCACCAACCTTTGCAACTTGTAGTATCTAAAAACGACGAAAGAAAGAGAGGAAGAAATATAATGTTAAAATGAAAAAAAAGTATTTTACTCATGTACGGGACTAGAATAGGTTATTAATGAAATAGGTTGTGAATGGATAAAATTAAAAATAATAACCCTAAAAATAAAATTTTACTGAAGGACAAAATAGTAAAAGGGAGATGGAGGGAGAAATGTGTGATGATGGAGGAAGCAACACCCATACCTAAATAGCTCTATTATAAATAGTAATGGCAAATAAATTAAATAGTTATACTTATTTTTTTTTTGTCTATATCAAACTTCATGATAAACCTGCTTTTTCCGCATCCATGGTAAATAATTTTCTATTATTTTTTATTAAATAAATAATTAAATAATATAATAAATAAAACTAACATTCTAAATTATTCACAAACAAATACTGTGATAGACATAAAAGAAATACCATAATATAAATTCGTATCAAAATAGTACCATAAATAAATAATGAAAATTAACATAAATAAATAACATCATAGTAATTAACATAAATACATTTAACATTATTAAATAAATAAATAAATACCATAACCATATGATATCACAATAAACATTGATAAATTAGTAAATGCACGTAAATAAAATAATGTAAAATTAAATGAAGAACCTCATAAATAAGTAAAAATAAAGGCGAGACGAAATAAAATATAGAAACATGAAGAATAACTAAAATTATTTTAAATAAAATAACTATAAAATAAATAAATAAATACAAAAAATAGTTAATTAATTAACAAATACATCCACATACAAAACAAATGTTTAGTAAAATTAACCCACAACAAGAAAGAAAATAAAGACGTAAATAATAAATGAGCAAAGAAAAGGATAGATTTGGAATGGAATGGGAGTGTCTATATGAAATCAAAATTACTTTGTTTTTATTTGAATGCAATCATATGTAACAAATTGTGACTTTTCTTCCTTGTATATATCCATACACGTATTTACAAACTTGAGAACTGGATTAGTTAGTTTTTTTTGTGCTGCCACGTGTTACACATAATCTGGATCTTCCACGACACACAGCAAAAAAACATTATTCTACTTTTTTCTATCTAAAATCTGTCAATCTATTTATTTAAGGAATGTCACGTATCATGCAACCAACTTCAACACATGACACGTTCAGATTTCAATGTTTTATACGTAAAACATCATATCGTATATATAACGATATATGCAATGATAGTAATCTGAATTTACTTAAACCACAAGAAATATTATCTTAACATATTCTAAGAAAAAAAAATTAAAGTCTAAACATGGATTGTTCAGCTAAATTTGATACATTCATCGTCATAACAACACTAAAACTAGAGCATGGTAAAATTTGCGAATAACAAACAAAAGTTTGTATGTGGTTTGTAACAAAACGTTAAAATTTGAGTGGGTGATTTCTGGCCCATGTCGCTGTTCTGTATGGAAAATGGGTAGTTTTAATATGAAAAGGAAAAAGTAATATGTTATTACAGGTTGAAATTAGTGATTAAATTGAAATGTACACGTTGATATTTGATTTAGTGTTTTTAAAATGAGAATGTTGAAGCAGCGGGAGTATATATAGTAAGAAAAGGGGAAGAGGAGAAAGAAACGGTCCATTTGCAAAGGGTTGTGGGGAGGAGAGAAAGAGAGGGTTGAGGTGAAGATGAAGGGTGATCAGAAAGCATGGCTGAAGAAAGAGTAATAAAATGGTAATTTTTAATAAGAAAAGAGATAGAAACTAGAAACAAATTCTAGGGTTTCCAAATCATTCTTCCCTCCAAACAAAACACCCGCATTCTTTCCTCCCAAGAAAGCGGGTTCACCCTTTTCCCTCTTCCTCAACGGCATTTCTTCCAGGTTAATCTTCCTCTTCCATTTCTTCTTCTTTTTTTTGTCTTCAAAGTCACATCAGAGCGATCGGATTTTTGTTGTCTGTTGCTTGGAATGGTTTTACTTTTTCCGTTACGCAGTCATTGTAAATTTGTTTGTTTTTATTATTATTCATTTATTGTTATTATAATAACGTAATGACGTCACTTGATTGTTGTTTTATACCTTTGTTGGTAGGTTTATGTCTGATTGGGCGATTGATCCAGGAGAGAAGGTGCTTGGCAGGGAGGGAGGGGAGGAGGGTGGTTGTGTGAAATGAAACAATGAGGGAATATTGCAGATCTTTCCTTATGTTCTGCGTTTGTTGTAATCTTCGGTGAATTTTGTTTTTGTTTTGAAAAGGACTTAAGTTTGAATCATGGATTTGGAATCTTCTAGGGATTCGGTGAAATGTTGCAAGCACTGCGAATGTGGTTGTAGTGATTGCTCCATGGTAGCTCAATCTTCAAGGAATTCGTCCCGTTGTGTGAAAAGGAAACACAAGGAGTTGGAACGGGGCGGGAAATTCTCTGTGCCAGGGCCGGATTGCGATCCAGTGGCGCGTGTTGACATTGGAAATGAATGTGAAGCTTTACGGCAGGCTGTTAGCAGCCAACAACAATCAATACAGGATTTGTATGCTGAATTGGAGGAGGAGAGGAGTGCTGCCTCCTCGGCTGCGAATGAGACCATGTCAATGATATTAAGGTTGCAGAGGGAGAAGGCAGAGCTTCAGATGGAAGCGCGACAGTTCAAGAGATATGTGGAGGAGAGAACGGTTTACGATCAGCAGGAGCTTTTGTTGTTGGAGGATATGTTGTATAAGAAGGAACAGGCTATTCACTCGCTCACCTGTGAGGTGCAGGCTTATAAGCACAGGTTGATGAGTTTGGGCCTCACTGAATCCGAGGCAGAAGGTGATCAGGATGAATTTCCCCCTTACGAGTACCCTCCTTTGAGATGTAAGGCAATGCATACTTGTGCTGATACGGACAATGATGACATAGACATTGATAAATATGCTTTTGGCGAAACTCCTAAGGACAGATTGAGGAACTTAGAAAGTAGGATATCTCAAATGGAGAGAAGCCCCACTTATAGCCAGGTGGATGGGGAATTTGGTGCAAAAAATATTTTTGAGAAGGTGATAGTTGGACAGTCTCCAAGATGGACCAAACATTCCAGGAAATTTTCTTGTGACTCATCTTCACTGTGTCCGGAGTATATGGTGGATTCCCCTAGCGTTAGGAAGATGGATTCTCCCTCACAATCGGGTGACCTTCCCAACTTGAAGAAGATGGATAATGTATCCGAAGCTGGTGATGATATGATTGATAAAGTCTATACAATTGACTCCGAGTTCAAAACTGGAGTTAATGTTTGCGATGATTATGCAAGCACTCCAAGGGACTATGTTAATAACGCGGATTTTGAAGATCCATACGTAAAGAAGCTTTACATGAGACTTCAAGCACTTGAGGCTGATAGGGAATCGATGAGGCAGGCAATCATTTCCATGCGCACTGATAAAGCACAACTTGTTTTACTGAGAGAAATCGCTCAGGAATTGTGCAAAGAGATGTCAGAGCAAAAAAGAATGGCAGCGAGGTCCTTTATTGGCAGCTTCTCATTCTTGACAGTTTTCAAGGTGATTTAGAAACAATTGGTTTCTGGAAATTATATGATAACCTGGACTCGTATCCTATTTAATTAATTTGGCCCTTTTTTGCTCTAGTTTCCTTTGACATAATCTTTATCGATCTCATAATTGAATATTTTGTTAGGAGCCACACTTATTATATTTCATCTTCTTTTTATGTTTCAGTGGATTGCATCAATTGTTTTCTGGAGAAAGGAAGCTCATAAAATCAAGTAAGTTGTTCGTATCTTTAGTCTTTGTTTCAGAATTTGTATACCACACCCACTAGTGTCTAGTGTGATGGTGCCTGGGTGTTTAGTTGTTGAAAAGCGTAGTCTCCCGAAGTTAGCATAATCAACCGTAATTCACAACCACCTTAGACAGACATCGTTTATAGAAAACAATAGTGTAGAAGTTTTCTTATTATGCATAATGCATGAAAAGGGTGCTGTAACATTGATCCAGGCATTCTGGATTTCTGAAGTTTCTTTATTTCCTGTGAAATTTCACTGGCTGGCAATTGATGTTCAATGTGATAAATATAATTGTAATGAACATAATCTCTTTAAAAAAGTTACATTTCTAGTTTGCAATACGACTATCATTGGGTGTAAAAACCTTTGATTATAATTAATTCCTCATTAACTGCATTTTTATATATAGTCCTCTCGAAGCACAATTGAGTATAACAATTATAGTGTGTTCTTGTGTCTATTAATTATGATAGTATTTCTTACAAGTGATTTTAGCGGGTACATATATTTAACTGCAAAGAGAAAATTTTGTTTGAGTGATCCTAGAGTGATTGCTTGACTACAAATTATACATCATCTCAACTACTTGTGATTGTAGGTATATGTTCGGACTACCGTCTGACAGCGTAGGCTTGCTAATGCTGCTTGACAAAGGACCCCATGTAAGGTCATGGAGATATATTCAGAGAACACAAGTGGGAGAGTAGTTCTCCAATTATTGTTTTAGCTTACAGGGTAGGCTCATCCGTGGGGGTGGAAGCACCAACCGAGTCTTAATCACACTACAATATTTTTTTTTCTTTAGATTTTTCTTTCCAAAAGGGTGGTGACTTGTGCAGTATTCTTTTATTTCTTTTGTATGAAATTAAAATGTATTTTGTTGGTTGATTGGTGAAACTTGCATTCGACTAGGCATTAGAGCATTCTCCCTTGAATTTGTCGAAGTTGAGTCGAGGTACATGTCTTTGTAAGTTTCCTCGCCATACAGTTTCTATTCGATTTTCAATTTCGATTCTGGTAAGTGGGGTTCGGTTTGTTGAATCTATGGATTCTGTTATGTATAGAACTTTTTTGCAGTACTTTACTTTTTAACTCAACGATTTTGCAGTACTTTACTTTAACTCAAAACATGATCGTGAGGTATTCTGTTTATGGGAAAGATTTACTGTAACGGAAACAAGTCTTAAAAGATTTTGTCGAATTTGAAGTAATATCAAAGAACTGGATGGGTTGGTTGTATTTTAAAACATTGGGTAGCATCATCTTTCGTCATAGAATAAAGCCAAAGTTTGGTGTCATTTTTTTTGCATTTTTCACACATTCCTTTAAGGCATGGGGTGTTTTGAGTGTATATCCAGCAACTCGTTAACTTGACGAGGAAGGGCAGAGTTTAATGTATGACTATGTTTTTCCTTTCACTGACTGAAGTAGTGATCATACGAAATAAACAGACAAAATCTGTATAGCTAATATTATGAGCTCTATTCTATTGTAGCAGTGGTCTTCAGATTTTGACACTTTGTCTGCTTTTGATAACATTAAAGTTGTTTTCAAGGTTCTCATCACTTAGATGACGAAAACAGAATGAAAATAGAAGTTAATTCTGATTCTTTCAACCCTGATTCCTATTCCCGGAAACATCTTCAAGAGGAAGATGAATTCTTAACAGTTTGATTTGTATCCCTCTCTTAGATTTTGCTGTGGTCTACGGTGTGACGAAAATTAGAGAGAAAATGTACATGGTAGTGTGTTATCTTTTATTTACTTTAAAAGAAAAAGAAAAGAAAAGATTAATTTAAACACTTGTAAAGGATACAATAAATGTATAATTTTTGTAGAATGAAGAAGTTTTTATTTTTATTTTTATTAAAAGAAAATTCATACATATGAATTTTGAAAAATATTATTTGTAATCCTTATAAAATTGTGGATTTTAGTTTAAATTACAGTAAAATATTTTTTCCATTTGTTATATTTGAAATCATTGATTTTTTGTCCTAATGTTCAATTTAGAATAGATAACAAATAACATATTTTTATAAATATTAAGAAAAAAGTATTACTCGAGTTGTTATTATTATAATATAATAAGAGTTATTTGAAATATTCAAGTTTTCGTTTAACACATGTCATATAATAAAAATAATTTTATAGAGACTATAAAAGCACTATAGAGATCAAAATAAAAAACATATTTATTTTATATAAAATAAAAACACGTTTACTTAATTTTTGTTATGAATAATTATAATAATTGTTTTTCTTTTTTATATTTCATTTTTAATTCTGCTATAGAAATGATAGTTTTTGAGTTGTTTTTAACTCCTGAGAGTTATATTGTATTTGGATCTATAAATAGGAGACTATTTTTTGTCAAAAATATACAAAGGAAATCATTTTAATTTATTCTCTATTGTTCTCTATTGTTCTCTTGTCTATTATATAGTTTAAGTTCATATTTTTATAATATGTTATCAATCGAAAAAAAAACTCATACTTTTTAATTTATATTTTGGGTTAGTTGTGACTCTATTTCAAATTTCATTTAAATTTCTAGTTAATTTATCATTAAAAAATTATATTGCTAATTTTATAATTATTATCACAAACAATTGTTAAAATAATTATGAGATCTAAATAAAAGATCTTGAAACTCACTCCATTGATAGTGTTTCATTTTCTGGTGAACTCAATGATTTTTTATTAAAAATGGTTATGGTCCAAATTAATATGATTTTGAAGAAAGTTATAAAATAATGAACCTTTCTCATCAAATATGGAAAAGTAATATGAAAAAACAAAATTGAGGAAATGACAAACTACGTTTTTTATGTAATTTCTCTGATGGTAAAAAACATTAATATCTTATATCTTGTTGAAACTTACAAAAAAATATAAAAATACGTTTTGTTTATGAATATGGTAATTAATTTTGATTGTGAATACAATTCATTCTTATTTTGTTGATTTCTTTGACAATTTTGAAAATTGAAATAGAATGAGAATCGCAAAACATAAAAGATGATATGAAATTCTTAAAAAATAAAACGTAATTTTTCTTTTCTTTGATTATAATATTGATTAATAGATGATTTAATGTTTTCTTTTCTTTTATCCACAAGGTGCATTTAAATTGAATTCAGGATGGCTAGTTATTACATTGTAGAGAAAGTTTGCTATAATATGGATTAAAATATAAAACTTGTTTACCTTGTCTTAATTTTACTTTTATATTAATAATCATATGTTATTGGAATAACACTTCATAATCAAGAGTTCTATAGAGGTAATGCAATTTTGCAATCCTAAAATATGAATGTTAAAATGTGTCAAAGAACATTTTTCTATGCCGTCAGGTTTCCACCATATGCGGAGCTTCAGGATGAGAACAAGGAAAAGCATCAGAAACAGAAAAGCAACCACAGGAAACTGCATTTCCATATCAAAAGAGTTAGCAAGTCTAGTAGAACAAGAACATGAAGAAGTTGTGATATGAATTAAAAACCTTGAAAAATATTGTAAAATGTAGAGTATAAAAGTTAATAGATATATCATGTACGAGCATAATAATGATATGATTTGTTGTTGCAGAACATGAGCTACAACAGTGGTAGCAACTCAATTCTGAAAACGCTGAGGCTGAAGAATCCGAAACTTGTGCTGTTGGAGAGTTGTTACAGTGTTGAGGACCTCAAAATCGTCCATGCCCATTTGCTAAGAACAGACCTTTTCTTCGATGTCTTTGTAGCAAGTCGCCTTGTTGCTTTCTGCGTACACTCAACTACCAACTTGCTTCATTACGCCTCAAGGGTTGTCTCCCAAATAAAAAATCCCAACCTTTTCATCTACAATGCTCTCATCCGAGGCTTTTCCACCAGCCGATGCCCACAAAATTCTTTTCACTATTACATCAAAGCAATACGCTTTGGTGTCATACCTGATAATATCACTCACCCTTTTTTGGTTAAAGCGTGTACTCAGTTCGAGTCTGCACCTATGGGCATGCAAGCACACGGTCAAATTATTAAGCATGGATTTGAACTAGATTTTTTCGTTCAAAACTCCCTACTTCATATGTATGCAACTGTTGGGGACATAAAGGCTGCAAGGAGCATTTTTCAGAGGATTGGTAGGTTTGACGTGGTTTCATGGACTAGCATGATCGCAGGGTACCACAGGTGTGGAGATGTTGAATCTGCACGTCAACTGTTTGATAGAATGCCCGAGAGGAATTTGGTGACCTGGAGCACGATGATTAGTGGTTATGCTCGGAACAATTATTTTGACAAGGCGATTGAGTTGTTTGAGGCTCTTCAGGCGGAAGGGGTGGTGGCTAATGAGACTGTGATGGTTGGTGTCATATCTTCTTGTGCTCATTTGGGGGCTCTTGCAATGGGGGAGAAAGCTCATGACTACGTGATGAGAAATAACTTAAGTTTGAATCTGATTCTTGGGACAGCTGTGGTTGATATGTATGCAAAATGTGGGGACCTTCGGAAAGCTCTTAAGGTTTTTGAGCAACTGCCGGAAAAGGATGTGCTTTGTTGGACAGCTTTGATTGCTGGACTGGCCATGCATGGTTATGCAGAGAAAGTACTGTGGTATTTTTCAGAAATGCTGAAAACGGGGGTGGTCCCAAGGGACATTACGTTTACTGCAGTGTTGTCAGCTTGCAGCCATGCAGGAATGGTTGAGAGGGGTTTGGAAATATTTGAAAGCATGAAAGAAGATCATGGAGTGGAGCCAAGATTGGAGCACTATGGGTGTATGGTTGATCTTCTTGGTCGTGCAGGGAAGTTTGGAGAGGCAGAGAAGTTTATTCTCGAAATGCCTGTGAAGCCAAATGCTCCAATATGGGGAGCACTGCTAGGAGCATGCAGAATTCACAAGAATGTAGAAGTCGGGGAAAGGGTGGGGAAAATTTTGTTAGAGATGCAACCAGAACATAGTGGTCATTATGTGTTGCTCTCGAACATATACGCTCGTGCAAATAAGTGGAAAGATGTTACTGTTATGAGGCAGATGATGAAGGACAATGGAGTAAGAAAGCCACCTGGATACAGTCTCATCGAAGTAGATGGAAAGATTCACGAATTTACAATTGGAGATAAAACACACCCGGAAATAGAGAACATAGAAAGAATGTGGGAAGATATAATACTCAAAAAAATAAAACTAGCAGGGTATGTTGGAAATACAGCGGATACAATGTTTGACATTGATGAAGAGGAAAAGGAAAGTGCACTTCACAGGCATAGTGAGAAGCTGGCCATTGCATACGGAATCATGAAGGTTCGGGCTCCAGCACCCATTCGGGTCGTTAAAAACTTGCGTGTCTGTGAAGATTGTCACACTGCTACTAAGTTTATTTCAAAGGTTTTCCAAGTAGAGTTGATAGTGAGAGATCGAAATCGATTCCATCATTTTAAAGAAGGCACGTGTTCTTGTAAGGATTACTGGTGAAACAACAATCTCACGTATTACTACGACCATGGTTGTAGATTTAGCACAACCGGATCAAATCAAATGAATGAAGTTTCTCAAAATTATTAAATCTGAACTTTAACTAATTTGATTATATGATCAACGTTTTACTAATTTTAAAACTTTTTAAAATTTACATATTGAAAGCCTTTTTTATTTAGACATCTACTTTTAAACTATTGTAGTCAGGTTTACATGTGTTTATCAACCGACCTCCATTATCTTTTAGTCAAGTTTTAGGGTAGATAGTTTCTGAAATTCATAGTTTTCATAGAGTCTTTTGAGGGTGAGAGGTCTGCAAAGTATAGGGTTCTACGATGTTGGCAGCAGGAGTCTCCTTTAGCGAGTGCAAAGAAACCGTGAAGGGAGTCTTGGGCTGTGGTCTGCAAAGAGTCTGGGTGGGGCTTAGGATTCTCACGAGTGCAAAGTAACCGTGAGCAACCCCAT